AGCAGTGGCTGGTGTATCCATATCATTAAGACGTTTGACTACTATTGGATACCTACAATTTCGGTGAAGAAATCAACATGCCAGCGAAGCTTAGAGAGGCAGACGGCAGAAGAAAATGAAGGTTGGAGAGTCAGGGAGTGGCTCCTTGCAAGCTGAAATGCTGGATGCCTGGTTCCGTTGGAAAACATCCCTCCTAAACTACTTGGATTTAATCGGCGATTTCCCTACTGCTCTTAGTGAGGATAAAAGATTGAAGCTGCTTCAACATTTACTCGGAGATGAGGGACAACGGCAATTCGATGATTTGGGTCTCCAAGGATGCAAATCGGTTATGGACGACTTCAATGCTCTTGATCGTGCATGGAGTTACCAAATGAACTTGTTTACCGCGCGATATATTTTCTCCCGAATACACCAAGAAGCAGGCGAACCCTTGAATGATTTCATTGCTCGGCTGAGTCGTGCAGTACGACCTTGTGACTACTCGTTTATTCCACAGAAAAAGATTGAAGGCTGTATGCTCACTCAGCAACTGATCACTGGAATCCCTGACAAACGCATACGTGAGGGGCTATTGCAGGAAGACGCTTGCACACTAACGTAGGGTCGAGCTTGCGAATTAGCCCGAGTAAAGATAGAAATTTCATTGCAATCAAAGCGGTTTTGTTCCACCAGCTTAGCTGAAGTGGTGAGAGTACAATCCTTCCGGCAACGTCCGACAGACAAACTGTCTTGCTATCGTTGTGGGAGCACGTCTCACAAAGCTAATTTTGCCGGTTGTCCCGCGCGCAGCCTCAAATGTAAAAACTGTGGTAAAAGTGGACACTATGCCCGCTGTTGTCCATCGCAGGCTTCGCGTTCATTAACGCTGATGGTACACCGGAATGCCATGTTACCGATCCAACGCAAGACAATATCTATTCAATCACCGCTGATTCCATACCTTCAGGTTGTGTAACCGTATTCGTTGTTGAACCGAAGTTTCCCGCTGCTGACATTCGTACTGTATTGTTCCTCACTGTTAAAGGTGCTGTTCCAATGGAAACGGAACTTGATTCTGCTTCTCCAGTCACTCTCGAGCCTTTCCAATTTTATGAACGCTACCTATCACAGCATACTTTACATTCAACCCCACATTCATTCTGGAGTTGCAGTTGCATTCTGTGATTGCAGCTATCGCAGTGTATATTTCTTCGGACAACAGACGACCCTTGCTTGAGAGGAATGCTACGGCGGCTTTGCACATTGCACCATCATTCTACCGCATGCTTATCTCTTCCGTCAACGTAGCACACTGGCAGGAACATTATTCGCAGCTCTTCCAGAAGTCCATCGGCCGTATTCCATGTGGTGTGCATCGAAATCAGCTGAAACCGAATGCGAAACCGGTCGCCATTGGTCAACCTCGACCCATTCCGCTAGCGAAACGTGAAGCGGTCTCAGCAGCCCTGCAAGCGATGCTAGGAAATGATTTGATTGAACACATCGACTGCCCTGAGTGGGTGCATCCAATGGTTAGTGTCATGAAAAAAGACGGTACTGTCCGGATATGCAACGCTTTGCAGGCGCTGAACAGATCGTCGTAGAGCGCTTTGTTTTGCCATATAATGATGAACTCACTGTACGTTTAGCTGGTGCAACTCTTTTTTCCAAGCTGGATTTGAAAAGTGCATGTTTGCATATGCTATTGGCCGATGATTCCAAACACCTAACTACCTTCCTCGCTCCTGATGGCCTATTTCAGTACAAAGTCTTACCCATGGGTTTGAGTTCCACGCCCGCCGCCTGGCAAAAGTTCATAACTCACGCCCTGCCAGGTATCGATGGGCAGGTTGTCTACACGAATGATATTTGTGTTTTCGGCCACTCACAGGCTTCGTGGCGACCTTATCTTAGCTTATTCCGTCCTGACTAATAACAGACACCCAAACGCACGATTGCTGGTCCGCGCCCGTACAGACCATCTTCGAGGGCACTCACTCAAACTGATGACTCGTAGCAGTCGCCTTCTGTGCCGAAGAAACAGTTTAAGTGTGCGTACTGCCTTCGCTTGGAACCCCCCCCCCCCCGAAGCTGTTGTCTCAGCGCCCAATACGGAGGCCTTCAAACAGCGCCTAGACGCTTGGCTCTTACCTCGCTGGTCTTCAACGTTGCTAAGATCTGGACATTTGCCAAGCTAACAAGCGGCGCTTCCATCATTTTGCTTCTATCCAACTTTGCCGAATTTACCTACACCACTCTCTTGTTCCAGGTATCCACGTTCCCACAGTCAACTCGCTGAATACTTGTGTTGAACACCACTACTGCGTCGAGACCCACAACATCTGGTACCTACCGACGAGATCAGGACCTTGCCGTAAGATCCCGAGGCAGAACCACCGAAAAGCTACGCTTACTCGTTCTGCGCAAACCCGTGAAACCCGTGAAACATGATGGAAGGCTACACAAAGTCCTCCAGCGCTTCAGTGATCTCAATTTGCGTCTGAATGCAAAAAAGTGTCTCTTCAATGCACCAGAAATTCAGTTTTTGGTACACATCATTTCACGCGGTGGCATTCGACCAAGTGATGAAAATATCAGGGCCATCTCTGAAGCGCCAACACCCAAAAACTTGACAGAACTAAAGTCCTTTTTAGGAACGTGCTCTTATAACCTGCGCTATGTGCCGGATTTTGCGACCGTGGCGGATCCATTACGACAGTTAACAAAGAAAGGATCATCGTTCGTTTGGGGCAGCAATCATCAAATGCCTTTGATGAACTGAAAAGGAGAGTTGTGTCTGCTCCCTTAGTTTGCCGTTTTGACGAATGTTGCCGCAACTTTGTGTCCACTGATGCGTCTGATATCGGTCTCGGAGCTGTCCTCTCACAAATACAAAACGGAGAGGAGAAAGTTATTGCCTACGCATCACGAAAGCTATCAGAATCCGAACGTCATTATTCAGTTGGGGAAAAAGAAGCCCTTGCATGTGTGTGGGCCTGTGAAAATTGGCATTTATTTCTGTTCGGTCGTCGTTTTATTCTGCGTGCTGATCATTCAGCTGTAACAGCTCTTCTCAGCAATGGATATAGAGGATCTCGCCCTGTGCGAATCGATCGCTGGTATGCCAGGCTCCTTAACTATGACTTTGAAATTGTGTACCGGCCAGGTTTGCAAAATCAGATTGCTGACGGCCTATCTCGCTTACCCGTGGGGTTGGAAGATGAAAAAGAGAGACTCAGAGAGTTGGTACTAGTTTCCAGTCTAGGAGCTAACCTGTCTGCCTCGACGATCGAGGAACTACGAAGGGAAAATTCTAACGATTCTTTACTGCATGAGCTCATTGAATATGTGCAACAGGGCTGGCCCAAATATAACAAAATCCCCGGTGAGTGCATTCCGTATTATGCAATTCGACATGAACTATCAGTGGTAGATGGTTGCCTGATGCGCGGCGGTTCAGTGTTTGTAGCTCTGCCCCAGTTGATAGCCAAGATAATAGCTTGTGCACATGAGGGATATCCAGGTATAGTTCGTAGTCCGTGAGACTCTATTTCTGGTGGCCACGAATGGCATCTAGCATTGAGACATTTGTGGTCAATTGCAATGCTTGCCCATTAGCGGACAAAAGTTCTATGTCCGCTAAAGCCCCGACACAGCTAATTGCTTACCCGATGAAATCATGGACCAAGATCGCCATTGATAGTATGGGCCCTTTCGCTACTGCTCCTACGAATAAGCGGAATCTACTTGTTACTACATGTGTTTACAGTAGATGGCCTGAAGTACACATGTGCGACCAAGTCACTACTTCGGTTGTGTTATGTTGGCTTAAACACTTGTTCAGCCGATTCGGTTTACCGCATGAAATAGCAACGGATAACGAGCCACAAGTTTGTAGCAACAAATTCGCAGATTTTCCACACTGCCATAACATTAAGCACTCCAGTACTGCGCCCTACAATCCTGCAGCCATCGGCATGGTCGAGGGTTTAAATCGGTCTCTAAAAGAAGCTATACAAGCCATTCACATAGGAGATTCGGACTGGGAGGATGCAGTTTTAACTGCGGTATTTTCCTACAGAACATGTGACCAAAGAGCCACCGGAAGAACGCCGGCCAATCTGATGCTAGGAAGGCCCTTACGCACAAAGTTAAATGCTGCACATAACCTTTTATCAGCGAAAGATGCCGAAGTTTCAAATCGCATAGCATCTTACCAAAATTCCTACGCTAAAGTATCAACACCAATGTAGCCCGGGACCTACGTCCACGTCCAAAGCATGGCGACAAAGAGAGGCACACCTTCGCTTTCGGCTCCAGTACGGGTCGACCTTACGCTTGGCCCGGGCACCTATCGATTGGAGAACGGCCTAATTGTCAACGAGCGTCGACTCCACACAGCTCACGGACCAGCGAATCAGCCCCACCGATCCTCGCGCAAAGACCCGGCTGAGTTACCATTACCACGAAGTCAGCTGCGTCGGTTCGTGAGAACGGTGAAACCTATTGATCGCTACGAACCAGGTTGAGGCAGCTTTTCGGAGGGGGACGATAATGTGGTAACCATGTGAGCAACATCGATTGGCTCGATCTCATTTGTTGGCTTGCTGACTCATTCCTATCTTACTATTGGTTGTGTGTGTCTGTCACTTGACTATCCGTTTAACAAGGGATTGACTCATTTGTACTTGGTTAATTTTGCGGGATACATTTGTACCTTTCCTACGGCTTTCTTGATACAACATGGACGACACCTAGATCAACCTGATGAGTCACGTGAGGAAGTACAGTCCCATCGAGCACATACGTTGTGGAGGAATCAAACGCTTTGATACGCAGCACTGAACACTTTGCCCGGTTTATGTGCAGCAACCACAAGACAGACCATTCCCAGTCTATCCAGAGCCCGTTGAAGAGCCATAGGACCTCCAGGGATATCAACAATATTCCAGAGCTTTAGGTCATCTGCAAATAAAAGCGATTGTACCTCAAGCTCCTCCGGCAAGTCATTCACGTAGACTGAGAACAGCAGTGGACCTAGGACAGAGCCTTGCGGAACGCCGCTAAGTACAGCTTGTCGAAACGAAAGACTGCTTCCCACACGAATACACTGTTCCCGTCCAGCCAGAAAGCTGACACCCACTGGAGAGCGCGACCAGCTATTCCATACGACCTCAACTTCAGTGAGTCGCGAATGGGGGACAGTGTCAAAGGCCTTGGCGAAGTCAATGAACACCACATCCACCGCATGTCTACGGCTTCGGCCCAGCACTCACGAGCTACCAGCAAGTTCGTCTGACACGAAAATCCTTTGCGAAAACCATGTTGCTCGACGCTAAGCAGGTTAAACCTTTTTAAATGGTTCTCCACTGTATCTCGTACTAATTTTTCAAGTAACTTAACGACCACGCTAGTCAAGCTGACAGGCCTGTAATTAGCCGGTGCGTCTTTGTCACCACACTTGAAAATCGGGCAGACAACAGCCTCCTTCCATTCGGTAGGCAAGATACAGCTGTTGAGTGACTTCTGAAACACACAAGTCAGAGGTCCACTGAGTTCCCCTGCCAATTCGTGCAACAATTTTGGATGAACAGAATCTGGCCCAGAAGCCTTAGTTGGGTTCACCTCTTTTAGCAACCGGAGAACTTGGGACTCCGTTACAGGAATTTCATCCAGACAACAGTCCTCAGGGACTCTTGGAGCTAACTCTTTACATGGCGTATTTGTCTCGCGGACAAAGACGCTTGAGTACTGCTTACCAAGCACGCATGCCTTGTCATAGTCGCTATAGGCATGGGTCCTATCTCCTCGAAACGATGGTGGAATGGGCGAGTTCGCACCACAGCCTCGTTTAACGTAAGCGAAGAATATCTTGGGATTTTTCGAAGCAGTATTAGCTAAGCCCTTTTCATACTGAAGCCGGGCCAACCTAAGATGTAGCTTGCACTCATTTCGAACCAACCGATACTTGTCAAACGTGCTGTTCGACGGAGCTGTTCGGTAAGCTCGCCAGCATCTAGACCGCTTCTTTAGCAGGCCCTTCCCCGCGGAATCTATCCACGGAGGCTGCGCTCTCGATTCCCTTCTTTTTACCAGTGACAGGCTCCTCTAGCTCACTGATGTTGGAGACAGCGTCATGAATACAAAAATCGGCTGTAAGGGATAAAACTTGTGATGTTTAGCTAAGAAAGGTGTTCAGTTTCCAGGTCAAAATGTGCCAACTGCTCCGAAAGGTCTCCTATTATTCAGCTAGACCTGGCTCATGCGGCCTTGGTAGAAACTGCAGAACCACTTAGAGGCTTAAAAAGTACTAAACTCTATATTCCCGGTGGTTTATGTGGTTCAGTATCCACTGAAAATTGTATGCTGAAGTCTCCTAACGGTGGGTTAATTATAAGCTCTGCATTCCAAGGCAGACATAATATTCCTTACTGGAGTTCGTGTTTTCGCGCAAAATTAAAGCCTATTGCGTATATTTGCCACGTATGCCTGCAAAGTGCACTTTTCGGCCACCTACGAAATCCCTAGCTGTTGAAGGGTTATACGGACTACTTAGAGCACTTCTAGAGAGTTATGCCTATTTAGAACGGATACCGCTTCGCTACTTGTTACGTTTTCTTTGCTTTTTCTGCTACCTGCTTGCGAAGCAGAAAGCCATCTTTAGCGAACGAAAATAATGGCATGTTCGTAGACCACCGTTCAACTGCGAATAACTCGCAAACCACTGTACGTACTGTATTCCTTTTTACTTTTGATGTAATCAGCGGTTAAAGCTTGTCTTGAGCAGTCTATTTTGAGCTTTTTACGCAGTACTCTAGCCTTAGAAAACGTTTTCCTTTTATCTGATAATTATTCCAGTTGAAATTGTGCGCCAGAAAGCAATACCCGCGGAAGAAAAGGTTGGCTATTTTTTTGTTAATTTGTATTTTTCTAGTGAAGACCGGCACCTTAGTATGTCTCTTAACAAATCCTTTTTATTTTCATCTGCATTTCTCGAAAATAGACTTTAACTTTCGGTACCCTTATTTTTCCGCCACTCTCATTTCTTCCATGTGCGCACCAATAATTTGGCGACTGGGCGGGCCAAATATGTCCAATGAATTTAAAGTGAAGTTGTGGTTGATTGGATTCTGTTCCAAAGAAAAACGGCACAACTACAGATCTGCGCAACTTTCACGAGGAAAGAACAGGGAGCTCAAAATCGTCCAAAGGAACCAGAAAAATTTCGAGTTGAGGGCTTGCGACGCCATCAGCCGTATACTAAACAATGCCAATGCAATTGTAATTGCCAACTAGGAATATGTACTCTTATTTTGCCTACTTTCATGCAAGAGCAAAGGCTTAAAGGTTGATCTGAACCCTTAAGGTTGCAGCCTCTAGCCAGTCTAGAAATATACTGTGCTTTTTATTTACAAGTTGCTGGTCCATTACTCGTTCATAGGTCGACGGTTGTACAGACTGCTCCTGCCTATGCCACAAAGCCCTTAACCACTTTGTTATCACCATAGTGCCGAGTGTTATGCGGAGAATACCTGCATTAAATGGGTGGCGGTTAACGAGAACAAAATCAAACTAGGAGGTTCCAAGCTACCATCCGTTGACTGTTTATAATGTCTATCGATACTAGCGATGGGTACCGAAGATAGCTAGTGACCAAGTCTTAAACGTATTGCTCTACCCGTCCACTGATACTCTCTGTTCTAGCGCCATTTTCTCTGTTTAGCAACAGTTACTCGCCATAGGCTCTATGCAACCCTACGGATATCTGGCGTTCGACAGTTGCCACTCCTTCTCTACAACGTTTATTCTCTTGGACGGTTTGCATCACAGCTCAACTGGTTTGGAGACCTATGCTGTAGGATTCGCAGGACCCACTAGTAACTGAAGGCTTAATCCGAATTCCATTGCTGACCAATAATACTCTTCCTCGTAGCGCCATTCTCTGCCGTTCGCCTTACCCTCGCCAACTCTGCTTGGCAGCAGCTAGTCGTCGTTGGTTCCGTGCATCTCTGTGCAAATCTGTAGCTTGCATGGAGCCACCACTTATCTCCAAATTTATTTGCTCGGACGGTTTTGCATCACAACTCAGCCGCTTCAGTGACTTATTCAGTGACACTGTAAATAAATAAATTAACATTTATGCTTGGCTATGCGAGGCCTGCCTACTAGGGCCTAATCAAATGAGTGCAAGTATACAGACATTTCATGGCAAGTGTGACAGTGACACTCCGATGGTTTTCACACGTGATTATTTGAAACTGTACAAATAATGGGTATCCATTAGTGAACATGTCTAAATCAAATAGCTCAACCCGCCCACAGCTACTCTCTATTCCAGCGCTAGCTACTATGTTTAGCTGCAGTTAGTGGCCATAGGCTCCATGCAACCCTGCGGAGTCACTAGTTCCCTACAAATTTTATTCGCTTGGACTGTTTGCATCACAGCTCAGCTGGGTTGGTGACCTATCCTTTGTTACAGTCGGATCCACTAGTAACCGAAGGGCTAATCCAAATGCCAACGTTGGCCACTGATTTCTCTCCCAGGGCAGTTATCTGCGGTACGCCTTACCGTCATCAACTCTTCTTGACAGCAGCTAGTTGCTGCTGGCGCCATGCACCAATGTAGCTTAGAAGGAGCCATTCCTTTACCCTCCGGCCTTTATTTTCATGAAGTCTCTTTCTCGCTAATCTTCGCTCGCTTGTTGTTTTATTCGTTGACACTGTAGGTATCCACTAGTGACCAAACGTTTTAATGGTATGGCGATGCCAGTCACTGGTAATTACTAGAGCCATTATTTCTGTTTATAAATAAATAAAATTTAGCAGCAGCTATTCGCCATAGGCTCCTTGCACCAATGCGGATATCCGGCGCTTGGCAGTTGCCACTCCTTCTCTACGGCGTTTATTATCTTGGACTGTGTGCAGCACTGCTCAGCTGGTTTGGTGACCTGTTCTGTGTCACTGTAGGTATCCACTAGTAACTGAAAGCTTACCCCGAATTCCATTGCTGGCCACTGTTATTCCTACTCCTGGCGCCATTATCTGTCGTTCCACTTACTCTCGTCAAAGCTTTTTGACAACAGCTGATCACCGTAGACTACATGCAACACTGCGCATAATAGGCGCTTACTAGGAGCCACTCCTTATCTTTCCAACTCTATGCTTGTGGTTTATTTGCATAAAATATCTTTCCTGATTTGTTTACCTGTTTTTTGACACCGAAGTTATCCATTAGTAACTAGAACGCTTAACCCAACTGGCATGTTTGTCCACTGAAACCCTGTCCATTAGCACCATCTCACGACCGTTTTACTTTCGGCACATAATGACTTGTTCATAAAGACTTACTCCTAGTCGGCTTCTGTTATGCTCAACTTCCTATCCTCAGTTGCCCATGTACCTAATAGCTATTATGTGGTCTTAGATAATCATCCTTCCGTGGAATATATATATTTATCGCCACATCGTCACCGTAACTTTTGCCTTCCGACTGCAACCAATCGTGAATACATAGACACCAACTTGTCTCCGGTTGAATTCCAACGCCGTAAGCTAATGCCGAAATAAATAACTAAATATTTTATTCTCGAATCTATCGAGGATTTCTTACCGGAACCTTGCCCTCCGTCCTGATGTTCATGATAGTAATATACCCGTTGGGCCATACCTTCTGTTGCATAATCAAAACACATTTCCGGCGTAATATCTTTTACACATTGTACACTACATTTCACAAGTAGGCGTCTTAAAGTAGGATTTCCCCAATGCCTATTACCATGACTGTCCTTTTTGGTCTTCTTTCAGCTTGTTCCTCTATTTCCTTGTCTCTGCGGTCGTGAACATACCAGAGCTCCCTGCGTAAACTGAGGAAACGCCTTCGTTTGAAATGGGCCGAAATAACCAACAATGACTTACTTCGACCATGGCTTCACTTCAAAAATAGCCATCTGCGCCCAGCACCTCAACCACCGATGACCAGTGAGGGTAGTTTGAGACGAATACTTCCCAGCCCAGAAGATATACGTATTCGGAGAAGTTGAGACCTCCTACACTGGAAATTCTACTTACGTGCAAACTCAGCTCCTCGACGGACCACAAAATCCATGTTGGACTCTAACTGCCATTTGTTTAGTCAACAGAGGAGGCATTCGACTGCGAAGAACTGAATGAACAAATGCTTCATAAGAGGTTTTGCTAGTTTTACATGACCGTCCAAGGCAATCTACGACGGTGATCGAGGACGTGCAGGGTTTTCGCCTGGCAAGCGCTCGCCCTATATAAAGCCCCAAAAGTCAGTTTAGGAACACTGTGACGTGGCGGATGCGGCTCGCCACTGAATAAAATCCCTGCCCACTGTTACACTCTGGAATATCAACTAGTCACTTCGATATTTTACTAACAAGTACAACGAAGATACCTTCAGTCTTCACATACCGTCCCCACTCCACCGAGGCGCGAATTTGAAACGATGCGTATTTTTCGCGTTG